TTTTATTTTTTCCTTTTTCACCCCAAAGCCCCCCAGTACATAGTTGTATATTCTTCGTTGTGGGTCCTTCCAGTTGTGGCATGTGGGATGCTGCCTCTGCGTGGTTTGATGAGCAGTGCCATGTCTGCGCCCAGGACTCGAACCAATGAAACACTGGGCCACCTGCAGCGGAGCACGCAAACTTAACCACTCTGCCACGGGGCCAGCCCCTGTACCACTGTTTTTTAAAATACCTTCTTTTTCATTTGAATGTCCTTTCCTTCTTTGTCAAACATCAGTTGACTCTATTCGTGTGGGTCTAGAAGGAAAGCAGTCAACTCACATATCCTGCAAACTTGCTGTACTCTCATTAATCCCAGGAGTCGTTTCTGTCATTGTGAGTTCTTCCAGTTGTGTAGAGACGGTCATATCATATGGAACAAGCACCATGAATTCAGCTACAGGATTTGTGAAGATGTTCTTTCTCAAGAAGTGGAAGTTCCCCTCTATTACTAGTTTATCATAAATGGATGTTGCATTTTCTCAATTCTTAGTTTATGTTCCTTTCTGACAAGCAGCTTTTTTCTTTTCATTTTGTCCATTGATTTCCCACAATGACATTCATTTCCTTTCTGACTTATTATTTTTGCTTTGGGTTTAACTTGCTCTTTTTATTGTTTGCTAAGGTGCATGCTTGTGTTGGTGATTAGAGATCCTTGAATTTTCCAGTGTATTTGTTTCACGGCACGAATTTCCCCCTATATACTCCTTTCGCTACATCCAAGAACCTTTGCTATCTTGTGTTTTCATTCTTTTAGTTCAAAATAAATTTTCATTTTTCTTGAGACTTCTAGTTTGATATTCTGCATTATTTGAAGTGTATTGTTGAATCACCACATATGAGGGGGTTTTCCGACTATTGCTGGTATCGCCTCCTAGAGGAATGCCTATGTGGTATGGGAGCCTATTTTGTATGATTTCTGTTCTTTCAAATTTGTTAAGGTGTGCTTTATGTCCCAGAATGTGGTTTGTTTTGGTGAATGTTCCATATGAACCTGAGAAGAATGTATATTCTGCTGTTCTGTGAAGCATTCCGCAGATTACAAGGAAACCCAGCAGTTTCGCAGTGCTGTTCATTTCACCTCTGTCCTTCCTCACTTCCTGCCTACTGAAATTTCTAATTCCTGATGAGGGGGTGTTGAGTTCTACAGCTGTGGTACTGGATCTGTCTGTCTCTCCTGCATTTGATCAGTTCCTCCCTGAGGTGTGTTGCCCCTCTGTTGTTAGGCAGTACACATGCAGCGTTGCTGTGCCTTCTCAGAGAATAGGCCCCTTTATCCGTACCTACTGCCCTGCTATCTCTGCATCTTCCTCAGTTTGAAATCCGCATTGTCTGTGATGTCTGTTCCTCTGGCAGCTTCCTTTGGATTCGTGTTGGCATGTCTGTTTTTCTCCGTCCCTTTACCCTGCATCTGTCTGTGACTTTATACTTAAGAGTGGGTTTATTGTAGACAACGTATAATGGTCTGGTTTTTTTGTTAAAGATTGGCGTCTGAGGTAACATCTGTTGCCAATCGTTCTTTTTTTTCCTGTCTAGATTGGCACGTGAGCTAACAACTCTTGCCAGTCTCTTTTTTTTCTTTTTCTCCCCAAATCCCCACAGTATATAGTTATATCTTTTAGTTGTGGCATGTGAGATGCTGCCTCAACATGGCCTGATGAGTGGTGCCATGTCCGTGCCCAGGATCCGAGCCCTGGACCACCAAAGCAGAGCACACGAACTTAACCACTTAGCCTCAAGGCTGCCCCTATGATGGTATTTTTTAAAATCTATTACTGTGTCTTTCAGGTGTAATGAGACCATTGATGATTAAAGTGTTTATTGTTTCAGTTAGATTAATATTTTCTCAAATTTTTACTTTCCCCATTTTTACTTTTGTTTGTTCTTGTCTTTTTGCTACCTCCTCTGGCTAAAATTGAGCATTTACTGTAATTCTTTTTTTCCCCGTTAGCATATCTGTTACACACTTTTTAAAAAACACATTCTAGTGGTTCCCCTTAAAGTTTCAGCATACATTTACAACTAAGCCACCCCTCTGCCAAGTGACACTGTGCCACTTCACTGTGTGCAAGTACCTCTTAACACACTGTCCCCAATTTTCCTTTCCTTGTGTCTTCTCACATTGCTGTCATTTATTTCTCTTGTCCAGAAGCTTCTCATTACCAAATACATTCTTCCTGACATTAGTTTAAACAAAGTGTCATCTGTTGTGTTAATTATAAGAAACATGAAAGATACTTCCCATCATTTTTTCTTCTTCTAATCCCCTACCTTTATCATTTACATTCTTTCTTGTAAACTTTTGAACGGTTTCCTTCAAAGTATGTGTACTCGGGATGAATTTCATCAAATTTTGTCTCAGAAAGTCCGTATTTCTTCCTTGTACTGAAGGGTAATTTTCCTTGACCGAATTCTAGGAAAGTGGGTTTTATTTTCAACACTTTAAATCTTTCAGTCTCCTCTGTTGTTGTTGCATGGTTTTTGAGAAGAAGTCTGATTTAACTCAAATCTTTGTTACTTTCTGTCGAAGTTGTGTTTCTTCTCTGGGATTTTTCAGTACATTCTCTGTCTGTGATGTGTCTGTAGTTTCAGTGTGATACCCTTGGGTGTGCACTTTGTACTTTATTGTAGTGTTCCGTGAGCTTTCTGGATAGACAGTGTTCTGGCTGTCATTAATTTTACCATATTTTGGTCATTACTATTTCATGTTTTCTTCTGTCTCGCTCTGCCTCTCTTTTCCTTCAGGTTTTCCCATTATGTGGATTTTAAACCTTCTCTTATAGAGGCTGTCCTAGGCTTCATGGAAATTGGGTTCTGTGTTTCCTGTGATTTTTGCCCTTGCATTAGACTCTGGGGAAATAGATTTCTTTTCTTTAGTATAGGCCTTATGAAGAACAGAACATGTGGGGCATATTGCAAAATGCCATCTTTTTTTTTCTCTTTACCACGTTTGGACACTCTCGTTTGTCCTGTCACCTCAAGGCTCTCCTGGATCTAAGAAGGGTTGTTCATCTCAGGTTTGTTCATTTTCTTCTTGTGAGATCAAGAATGACAGCTTCTAAGCTCCTTAGGCGCAGCATCAGAAGTTGGCAGGGCATCATCCAGAGTGAGTGTTTGGGAAACAGTTCCTCTTGATGTTGGAGAAAGGAAATTTTATGTTCTTTTGGAGGAAACCACTGTCAAATTTATAATCATGGGCAAATTTAGCATCAAACCATTGTGGACTTCAAGGAGCTCCTGTGCAATCTGCAGCTGTCTACTTTTTCTGTTCTTTAGAGATGGGCACCTGAGCTAACAACTATTGCCGATCTTCTTCTTTTTCTTTTTTTCCCCCTGCTTTTTTACCCCAACCCCCAGTACATAGTTGTATATTGTAGTTGTGAGTGCCTCTGGTTGTGCTACGTGGGATGCTGCCTCAGCATTGCCTAATGAGCGGTGCCATGTCCAAAGTGGAGTGTGGGAACTGAACGCCTTGGCCACAGAGCCAGCCCCAATCTGCAGCTCTTAACCTACCCCTCAAGGGGAGCAAAGCTCAGGGTACTCCGTTGACATTTGACTACAAAGAGCTCTTATGGCACATTATTATCTCAGAGTGTGTTCTAAAAATGGTGACAAGTAGCTTTGAGGCCAATGAGTGTAGAGATCTTGTGGTCTAAATTTTCATGGCTTATTCCTTGTGGCTGAACTCTGAGTTCATAATAATTTCAGCCCCATCAAATCATACAGAGTGAGAAAGGTAGAACTGAGTCTATGATACTACACAAGTTAAAAGTGTTTCACCACAAGAGGATTTCCATTCAGCCAGCTGCATCTAATTATCTGTAATGGCCTGGGGTAGGTTAGGACAGTGTGGGTAGCTGGGCTTCCTCAAAGTGTAATTTCAAAGGCCTCCTGGACTCTCAGTTTGCTGAGGGGACCAGACCAAAAAGCTTCCAGTTGTTCACTATGTTTCTATTCACTGACATCCCATAGATATCACCCTCTGCTTCATGGAGTGCTGTAACCGGTGGGTAATATGGAAGAAGATGAAAGAACTTTTCTTACAAACAATCATTGGTCCACAAATGATATTTGCTTCATTTGTGTAGCATTTCTGTCATTTCCCAACCTGTTCTGGAACTTGTTATTAGAGAGAAATCAGATGTAATGTCATCACAGTAAAACTGTGTAAATATTTCCATGTGTTCACAATATTGTTAAATTGATGAGATTGTGTACAGAAGAAAGCTATTTTGTGATGATCACAACATAGAATAAATGTTTGGAGATAATAGAATCCCATGTGACCTTCCTAGAATTGGCATATAGATCCCCGATCCCCAGTGCTGTCAGGCTCATGTATCCTACTTGACACACATTTGTGGTGTTTCAGGACTCAGTGACCACTGAGGACGTGGCTGTGAACTTCACCCCAGAGGAGTGGGCTTTACTGGATCCTTCATAGAAGAGACTCTACAGAGATGTGATGTGGGAAACCTTCAGGCACCTGGCCTCAGTAGGTAAGAACAAGGAAATTCCTTCACTGCATCAATGAGAGACCAAGTGTTGCTTGACCATCAAGAGAGTTCTAAGGGACTGGCCTGGTGGCATTGCAGTCACATTCACACATTCCTCTCTGGTGGCCCAGGGTTCACTGGTTCAGATCCTGGGCGCTGACATGGCACCGCTTGTCAAGCCCTGCAGTGGCAGGTGTCCCACATATAAAGTAGAGGAAGATGGGCACAGATGTTAGCTCAGGGCCAGTCTTCCTCAGCAAAAAGAGGAGGATTGGCAGCATAAGTTAGCTCAGGGCTAATCTTCCTTGAAAAGAAAAGGAACAACAGGGTTCAAAGGTGTAGAATGTGGAAAGGTGAAGTTTTTAGTAAAGTAGAAGTGGTCATCGATTATCACATACTTTGAATCTAAATATTTTTCTATAGTTTCTAATATTTGGAATAAATGTTCTTTGTCTGCAGTTCAGGAATAACATGGGAAGGTCATGATATTGAAGATCAGTACAAAGACCTGGGGAGAAAACTCCGGTGAGTGACACAGTAGAAAGCTCTGTCTCATGTGAGAATCCTTGCATGTCAAGACAGTTTTTTTAAAAAGAGCAAACAAAAGAAACAGCCCTTGCTTTACATTTAGGTATTCTTCAAAGATTTTCGTCAAGTACACTTTCTGAAATGTGATGTAGTGGTTCACTTTTTGCAATATATTTCACTTATTAATAGTAATAATGAATTGTATCTATGAATATTGCTGTTTGGATAATGGCAGAAAATTCAGTATATTTATTTCAGAGCATTCACAGAAGGAAGAAAACAAACATTTCCTATAAATCATAATAAACATAAGAAATATAAAATCATTGATAGAGAAATCACTAACAATGTGCTTCTCATTCGTACAGAAAGCATGTGGTAGGGAGACTCTGTGAAAGTGAAGAGGGTAGTCAATGTGGAGAAAACATCAGCCTTCTTGCAAATCTCAGTCTGAACAAGAAAACTACAGGAGCTAAACCATGGGGATGCAGTGCATGTGGAAGAGTCTTCACGCATCATTCATTGCTGAAAATGCACATTAGCTGTCACGCTGAACATAAAACATATGACTGTCAAAAATATGAAGAGAAGCCATATAAATGTATTGAATGTGGGAAAGCCTTCACTTATCTCACTTTACTTTAACCACATGAAAGAACTCATACTGGAGAGAAACCCTATGAATGTAAAAAATGCAGTAAAGCATTCACTTCTTCCCGTTCTCTTCAAAGACATCAAGGAATTCATGCTGGAGAGAAACCCTATGAATGTAAACAATGCAGTAAAGCATTCACTTATTCCAGTTATCTTCAAATACATGAAAGAATGCATACTGGAGAGAAACCCTATGAATGTAAGAAATGCAGTAAAGCATTCACTTGTTCCAGTTATCTTCAAATACATAGACGAATTCATACTGGAGAGAAACCCTATGAATGTAAGAAATGCAGTAAAGCATTCGCTTGTTCCAATTATCTTCAAAGACATGAAAGAATCCATACTGGTGAAAAACCCTATGAATGTAATCAATGCAGTAAAGCATTCTCTTCTTCCGGTTCTCTTCAAAGACATGAAAGAACTCACACTGGAGGGAAACCCTACAAATGTGAAAAATGCAGTAAAGCATTCACTTTGTCCCGTTATCTTCAAAGACATGGAAGAATTCATACTGGAGAGAAACCCTATGAATGTAAAAAATGCAGTAAAGCATTCACTTCTTCCAGGTCTCTTCAAATACATGAGAGAACTCACACTGCAGAGAAACCCTTTAAATGTAACATATGAGGTAAAGCCTTCATTTCTACCAGTTGTCTCTCAGTACATGCAAGAAGTCATACTGGATAGAAGCCCTACGAATGTGAAAAATGTAGTAAAGCATTTGCTTCCTCCAGTTACCTTCAAGTACATGGAAGAATTCATACTGGAGAGAAACCCTATGAATGTAAGAAATGCAGTAAAGCATTCACTACCTCCAGTTATCTTCAAATACATGCAAGAATTCATACTAGAGAGAAACCCTATGAATGTAAAAAATGTGGTAAAATGGGACATACGATATTTCTATTTTTAATTTTTTGAGAAATCTCCATACTGTTTTCCATAGTGGCTGCACCAGTTTGCATTCTCACCAGCAGTGTATGAGGGTTCCTTTTTCTCTACAGCCTCTCCAACATTTGTCACTTTTTGTTTATTTTTGCCATTGTAACAGGTGTAAGGTGATATCTTGGTGTAGTTTTGATTTGCATTTCCCTCATGATAGTGATGATGAGCATCTTTTCATGTGTCTATTGGCCATCCGTATTTGGAGAAATGTCTGTTCATGTCTCCAGCCCATTTTTTGATCAGGTTGTTTGATGTTTTCTTGTTGAGTTCTGTGAGTTCTTTATAGATTAGGGATATTAAGCCTTTGTCGTATGTATGACTTGCAAATACTTCTTCCCAGTTAGTGGGTTGTTTTTTTGTTTCAATCCTGTTTCCCTTTGCCTTGAAGAAGCTCTTTAGTCTGATGAAGTCCCATTTGTTCATTCTTTCTGTTGTTTCCCTTCTCTGAGAAGACATGGTGTCTGAAAAGATCCTTTTAATACTGATGTCAAAGAGTGTACTGCCTACATTTTCTTCCAGAAGCCTTATGGTTTGAGGTCTCAGGTTTAGGTCTTTGATCCATTTTTATTTTATTTTTGTGAATGGTGGAAATGAATCATCAATTTTCATTCTTTTATATGTGGCTGTCCAGTTTTCCCAGCACCATTTGTTGAAGAGACTTTCTATTCTCCATTGTAGGCCCTCAGCTCCTTTCTCAAAGATTAGCTGTCCAGAGATGGGTGGTTTTTTTCTGGGCTTTCAATTCTCTTCAATTGATCTGTGCAAACTACAGAGTGACAAATGTGTGTGAATGGTTTCTGTTCTGATATGTAAAGATATCTGAGTGATCGCTCTCATCTTCAGAAGAAAAATACTAAGCACTCTTAAAGGGAACACCTCTTCTTAGATCCATGAGAGATTTGAGTTTACATGGCAACAGTGCCCCCTACATGAGAGAAGGTGAATATAGATAATGCCCATGTACCAGGAGGCGGAGTGACTGGAGCAAGCAGCTTTCTAGGAACACATCAACATAACAAGAGATGAATTGCTAGACACACAGTATGGATTATCTTGAGAGTTAAAAACTCTAGGGAGGGGCCAGTCTTAGGGGTCCCCCCACATTCATGAATGCTTCCTTCAGCAGCCCAACGTGGTCTTCATACTGAAGATCAGAAAAAATTGCCTCCTGCTTCATCCAGCAAATGAGGGAAAACCTTTTGATATACATGAAAAGCATATTGCTGTCTGTGAAGTAGACCATCCGTCAGATAAAACTAATGTACCCACGTCTTAACTCAGTGTGTAAAGTTCAAATAGACACCTGCAGTCACCTCAGCTCCTCTCTGCCAAAAGCAGAGGAAATATAAGTGCTCAGATCCTGTTGTAAAGTTCACGGTCCAGGGATTCTTTACCACCAAACACTGCAGGTTTCATCATCACATGAGAGGACAATTTGCCTTTGAAATCCCTGACACCATATCAGCAGGGCCACAGGATACAAACACTGGATGAAAACAGAGCTGCAAGACACAGATTCTACTTAAGAATGAGTTTCTAGGGAAATCCAACAGACCAGGGAGATAAGTGCAAGGACACTGCAGACCATGAAGCCCCTGACCCCTCCAGCTGCAGCAAACACGAAACATAATCTGACCCCTATTCAAGAAATCATAACACTCACACTAAAGGCCTGTTTATCTCAAATTATTGTGAAAATTCAAAAACGTGGAAATTAAGTAACATTCTTGGACAAACCATTGAGTCAAAGACAAGATCAAAGGGGAATTTAATATAAGTGTTGCTGAAGCAAGATAAATGAAATTTTCAAAATATCTTGAGACAAACAAATGAGAAAAGACAATTTAAAAAAACTTGTAGGATGCAGCATAACGAGGAGTAAAGGAAAGTTAGTTGTGAAAAACACCTGTATTAAGAAAAAAGATAGTGGTAGGCAGAGCAAAATGGTGGGGTGAACTGACCCAGTACACTCCCCCTCGAAACTACAACAAAGGACTGGAGAAAAGAGAACTGAATTTCAGCAAATAAACCTAATGCCAAGACATCAGAGACCTACAGTATCAAAAATACAGATGATGGAGACCCTGCTGCCGGACTCGGAGGAGCTGGAACAGCATATAGTAGTACAAATGGCAAAACTGAAAGACAAAGAATACTCAGGGCAGCAAGACAGAAGAAAATAACCTACAAAGGAACTCCTATCAGGCTGGGCTGAACAGACGTGTCAACAGAGAAGTGAAGCCACGGAGTGGGTGAGATGACCAGGAAGAAAGGGCAGAGGAAGGGAAGCGGCCAAAGGCAGGGCACTGAGCAGCACCTGCCCTTAGCTTTCTATCAGCACTGCCTCTCAGCCAAGGGAAAGACTGAGAGCCTGGAGCCTAAAGCAGGATGCTGAGGAAAAGCAGTCTGTGTGAAGATGATGTGGCCCATGTTTGTCACGGGTCCGCAAGGAAGAACTTCACTCCTGAAGATGCAAATGGTCCCCTGTCCTCAAAGCGTTGCTCTGACTCAACTGACTCCTGCAGGCAAGTCACCCAGGACCACCACATGCATTTAAAACTCACAAGTACCTGCTCCCACCTTTTGCACAAGATAGGAAGGTGGGGTGGGGGGATATTTTTCTTACTTTTCAGTAGTTCAAGAATTTTTATTTTATTTATTTATTTATTTGGTGAGGAAGATTGGCCCTAAGCTAGCATCTGTTGCCAATCTTCCTCTTTTTGCTTGAGGAAGACTCACTGAGTTAACACCTCTGCCAGTCTTCCTCTATTTTGTATGTGGGATGCCGCCACAGCATGGCTTGATGAGTGGTGTGTAGGTCTACACCTGGGATCCAAACCTGCAAACTCCACGCTGCCGAATCACAGCATGTGAACTTAAGCACTACACCACTGGGCCGGCCCCAAGCACTTTTTAAAATGAATTTAAAGACACTTCTGTTTCTATTTTGAGAAAAAGCGATATCAAAGTAAGATGAGTCAGGTTTAGAAAAAGAATCATTCTCTTCTAATAATGGAAACAACAATCAAGGCATTTCTACATTTTCTATCATTTTTTGATATTAGGAAAAAAATTTATACAGCTTGGCTCAGGGATGAGTAACGAACCAAAGGGCTAACAGGGTAAATTTGAAAGTTTAAACAAAGTTCCTACCTTTACCAAACTGCAAAAGAACTACAAGAAAATAAACTTGAATATCAAAGCTTTGAAGGGAGTAGGACTTTTTAAGCTCAGAAATGATAGAGTAGATCATGAAAGAAGAGATTTGACTGCATATAAATTTTAAAAATTAAAAAGGCAAACAATAGAAAAACTGTTGCCACAAATGTGACAAAGGATTAACATCACTATTATATTGCCGGAGTCCTGCCCCGGCTGAGTCCAGGTTCCTGAGGGATGGACGGCATTGGCGCAGTGAGGGAAAATGAAGAAGACATGAGACTTGGGTTGGTGTTAGCAAGTCCGACTTTACTGTGCACAAGTGTCGTTTATATATTTTTCAGGATTAGTACAGAAATAGCTCTAACCAATATGTTCAGATAGATAAGTAGAAAACGAGCACAAGAATATTTTTTAGCATGCTATTCTATAGAGCATAAGGTTAATGATCATCTTCTCCGCAATTAACTAGTGTTTGTTGTCTCTAAGCTAAAAGAGATAGGTACCTAGACATCTGTTGTAATTCATGGTAAAGTTAAATCAAAGAGAGAAGGTCCAGGCATCCAGACAGGACAGCAGTCCGTCTGGTTACATCCTGGGGGAGCCACCCCTGCCTCCCTCAATCATTTACACCGTTAGTGTAGATGGTTAATGGGAACAAAAGGCGACTCCCAGGTATCTTATCCCCAGGGCTATCTGCATTCTCAGCGGGCAGTTAAATATCTTTACATTCCCGCACCCTTTAGGGGGTGAAAGCATTCCTTTGTCTTTTAGATTGTAGAGCTAACAGTCCCTTAAGCACACTGCTGGAGAAAATATCATTTTGTTAGTAAAGTAAAGCATTGAAAAGCTAAGGTAAACTATATATCTTCAAGAATAAAAAACAGAAATAAATATAGACATAACCTTGATAGAGAGCATGCATATAATTCAGAAAATATCAGGGGTGTCAGCCGGCCTTTCTTCACCAAGGGGCATCCCTGCACCCCTCAGCCCTTCTACTCATCAATTATTTATTTATTGCTTTTAGGAGAAAACCTCTATAACATTTTAACAGAAAGCAGAAGGTCAAGAATAATATATAG